TGTTGATATCCTTTGACCATTTGTCCACTGGGAAATGGATATTATTCTTACAAATTTATATATGTTGATGAGAAATTCTGCATATCAGATTTTTTGCCCTCTTTATTTACTACAGAGTATTTCCCAATCTGTTTCTTTCTTTTTTGACACATTGCAATTTTTTTTGTGTAGAATATTTTTATCGCTGCATAATTTTGCATATGAGAGGTCTCTGGGCAAAGTGGATATTTAGCTGACTGAAAGTTAAGAAAGACTTGTATTCAAATCTAGCCTTTGTCCTAGGGTACTTGTGGGACCTCAGGAAAGTTGCTGATTTTTTCAGTAACTCCGTGAAATTCTCAAAGATTGGAAGTTGGAGAGAAGATTCAGGTTAGTGGTAATAGAAGAGCTAGGTGATCTCATCAGCTCCCAGGCATTTAATGACCATCTCTATGCTGATGATTCTCAAATCCCACCCTTACTGCCCCAGCATCTCTGCAGTCCTCCAGTCTCGCATGTCCAACTGCCTTTCAGATGTCTCAAACTGGATGTCCAGTAGACATCTTCAACTTAGCATGTTCAAAACTGGCTCTAATCTTTCCCCCTAAATCCTCCCCACCCAGCTATGCTCCCTGTTACTGTAGACAGCAACACCATGTTCCCAGTCCCTCAGACTCATAATCTATGAATCATCCAGGATTCCTCCATTGTCTCTCACTCTCCATATCTAAGCCTTAGCCAGGGACCATTGATTTCACCTTTGCAACATCTCTCAAATTTCCCTCTTTTTCTCTTCTGACACTGCCCCAACTCTAGGGCAGACCCTCATCATTTTAGGCCCAGATTACCGCAGGGGCCTACTGTCAGGTCTGCCTATCTGAAACCGCTCCTCACTTCAGTCTATCCTCCATTCAGCCACTGAAGTGATTTTCCTCAAGGGCAAGTCTAATCTTGTCATTTCTCTACTCAATAAATTTCAGGGGCTCCCTATGGCCTCCAGGAGCAAATGCAAAATGCTTTGTTTGGCATTCAAAGCCCTTTATAACCTAGCCTTTCCTACCTTTCCAGTCTTCTACACCTGCCTTCCTGACACAATCCTTTAGTGACACTAACCTTCTGACTATTCCATGAACAAGACCCTCCATCTCAGCATTCTCTCTGGCTGGGCCCTAGGCCTGGAATGCGCTCCCTCCTCTTCTCTGACTACTGGCTTCCCTCAATTCTTTTAAGTCCCAACAAAAACCCCATCCTTTACACGAAGATTTTCCAAACCCCATCTAATTCTACTGCCTTCCTTTCTTAATTATTTCCTATTTATCCTGTACGAAGCTTGTTTATGCACATCTGTTGCTTGTTGTCACCTCTGTTAAACTATGAGCTCCATAAGGGCAGGGACTGTCTTTTGCCTTTCTTTCTATTCCCAGCACTTAGCACAGTACCTGTCACACAGTAGGTGCTTAATAAATGTTGATTGATTTACTGACGTCCTCACCAAGAGCTCCCTGCACCAATGAAATCACATAAAAACAGAGTTAAGTATAATTAAATTTATTTATTATATATTTTTTATTATTATTAAATTCATTTAGTGTACTTTCTATAAGTGAGATAAAATCATTTTTAAAAGTTTATATCAGTGATACAGTAGAAATGGTTACTAATGTATATGTAAGCCCATTTTCTTTTTTTTTTTAAATCATAATGCTATTTACTTTCTCAACCATTAGTACTGAGTAATGATTCTTTTCCCCACTTTTTGGCAATCTTGAGTTTATCAAGCACTAAAAGTATCAGTGGGTACAGCTCCAGGTTTGGAGTCAGGAGGACCTGACTTCAAATCAGGCTTCAAACACTTACATGCAAGTTACTGTAATTTTGCCTCAGTTTCCTCTTCTGTAAAATGGGGATAATAATAATAGGCCCTCTCTCCCAGAATTGTTGTGGAGATCAAATGACATAATAATTATAAAGCACTTAGCACAGTGCCTAATACATAGAAAGCAATATATCAATGTTAGTTATTGTTGTTATTATTATCATTATCTTTTAAATGCCAGGTTCTGTTTTTGAATTCTCCATTCTGTTCTGTTGTTCAATTCTTACATTTTTAATACATGTTTTTCCCATCTGGCAGGGCAAATTCATTTTTAATTTTCCCTAATAGTTTTTCCATGTACATTTTGTTATTATCTTATCTAATTCTATAATTTAACCTATTAGCATTTTAATTGATACTACATTAAATCTGTGTGTTATTTTTGGGAAGTAGTAATGTTTTTAGCAGACCAGATTGAACTACTCATGTGAAAGGGAGCTCCCTTCAATCATTCTTCCGTTATTTCTGTCAAAATCAGTTCATTCATCAAGTATATATTTAGCATATACTATGTTCCAATCATTTTCTCCTGGGTACTAGGGGTATAGATATAGTGACAATAATGAAATAATCTCTTCCCTGCTTACATCCTTTTGGAGACAAGGGAGGGCCAACATTTATATATTTGTACAAATAAACACAAATATACAAAATAATTCTAAGGAGGAGCTCTTGCAGTCAGGGGAATCAGGGAAGGTCCCATGTAGGAAATGGCACATGAACCTTGACAGAAACTAGGGATTCTAAGAAATAAAGGTGGTTGGGGGGTAGGGAGGAAATGCCTGGATACTTGAGATGTAATGTTGTCTATGAAGACCAGCAAGAAGGCCAGTTTCCTCCTTCTCCTTTCAAACCTATCTATTACATTCGGTAATTTAACCAATGGGCAGGTATGGGGCACAGTGGACGGAATCAGGAAGACTCATCTCCATGAGTTCAAATCCAGTCTCAAACACTTACTAGCTAGACATTCACTTATCCCTGATTGCTTCAGTTTCCTCATCTGTAAAATGAGCTGGAGTAGGAAATGGCAAACCACTCCAATATCTCTGCCAAGAAAACCCCAGCTGGGGTCTCAAAGAGACTGAAAAGATTCAACAACAAATTTAACCAATGTTATTTTTAATTATGCTGTAGGAACTCATTATACTAAGATAACAATAGAAAGGTATCTGGTGTTCTAAGTGTTTATCTCCAGAGTATTTTTCCAGGTGAAATCCAAAGATTTTTGAAGTAAATCATTTTCCTCATGGATTCTGTTATCTTTTTGGAGTATGTATATTCACCTTTTGTTTACCAACAGATTACTTAGATTTGTGGCAAAACTGATTCTGGAATAGATACCTTCTTAAAAAGTAATTTGTATGTTGCAATCAGCATCAGTAATCATTTCTTGCTTTTGTAATAAAATCTTAAGACTCAGATTGAGGTATTTTTTTAAATAAGAGTATTTTTTCCCTTTTGGTAGTTTGAAATATTTTTTTTATTCAGTGTTGAAGTTTGACAATAATTTCTTTGAGAGACCTGAATTCTGAGGTTCTTCTGCCTTGAGTTCTGTGAATCCTTTCAAATTTGAGTGATTTTTAAAATTTTTAATAGTTTTGGGAATTGTTTTTACACAACTTTCTAAAATGTGGAGATTGGATAATTTTTTCTGGTTCCCCCCTCCCATTTCTGTAGATTCCTTCCCTTAACCTCTCTGAATATATCATTTCTACTTCCATTGTTTCCATTTTTTTAACCAATTATTTTCAGTTTTCTTTTTCACTTTCTCTTCTATTATATTAGGCCTGCTTTTAGATGCACCTATTGATAGTTACAGTTTCTCTATGATATCTTCATGTTGCTGATTTTAATCATTTCCTGAGATTTTTTTTTAGCTTCAAGTGGTTCTTCTCTGATTCATCAAGTGTGCCTGTTGTTATTTAATCTTGTCTCAGAATTTCTTATCTTTTTGGTGCAATTTCTAATTTTTTCAGTATGACTAATACACACACACATTTACACACTGGTGGGGTGCTTTTGTTTTCTTAATTGTCTTTGTGGTGAGTTGTATTTTTCTTAATTCCTAACTTTTTTCTAAATAACAATCATTTCACCATTTTTATTGGGGGTCATGGGGAACTTGTCTCCTTTTCCAAGTCTTTTCTCACCATCTTTCCAAAGTCTTCCCAGCTCAAGTTTTGAAAGCAAGAAGAGTCATTGTCTGGTAGAGAAATAGAAATGGTGTGGTACCCAATAGGATGGCATGTGTGATGAATTGGAGGCAAAGAGGAAGGAGGATTAAAGCCTATGTGAAATGTAGCAAATAAAGTAGAAAATAGGAACTAAAGGATAGTATAAGAGATAGTTGGATGAGTTGCAAGTCAGGGCAAGTTTGAGAGGAACAACTAGCAGACAGAGGTTTTTAAGACAAGACAAGTACTGTGGTTATATATGATTGGATTCAAGAGGCAGTTGGGAGCTCCTGCTGGTTTCTAAGTAAAGGACAGATATAATATAAATGATACTTAATAAAGCAGATTTTTGTAGTTGTGTACATAAGAGAAGGAAAGAAGGAAGGGAAGGAGGAAGGGAGGAAGAAAAGAAGGAAAGAAGAAAGAAGGAAAAGAAGGAAGGAAAGAAGGAAGGAAGGAAGGAAGGAAGGAAGGAAGGAAGGAAGGAAGGAAGGAAGGAAGGAAGGAAGGAAGGAAGGAAGGAAGGAAGAAAGGAAAGAAGGAAGGGTGTCTTAATAGTGTTAATAATGAGTTCTCCTTCAGGCTTGTTTTCCATTTAAGTATCAATGGGGTATCAAAGTAGAAACGTTCTATAGATAGCAAAAAATTTCTATTAATTTAAATGTTCCCAAGAACATTTAAGTAAAAGCTGCACTAAAACGAGTTTTCTAAGGATGAGAGAATTCTCTAGGACTTAGAGGAGCATGTGGTTCAAATGGTTAAGACCTTGGGCTAGATGTGAATACAATTAGTCCCTAAGCAATATTATTGCCAAAATCAATAATATTTGTACAAATACCTTTTAGTATATATCCTAAGATTTGGTCAGAGCTATCAACTTTGAAGGACCCACAGCCCTAAGATGTGCTGGGAATGGGATATGGAAGAGAGGGAATTTCAGAAATTGCAAAGTCTCTGTCAGCCTCTGAATATTCAGCTGCGGTGGAGGTTTGAATCAGATTTAAAAACAGGAAATGAGTCTCTGACATCTTTGATTTGAGGTGGTTCTGTATAACCCCTTCTGCTGAATCCAGGAGAAAGCAGCCTCTGGAAATTTCCTGTTCTCCTAAAAGCAACAAAATAAAACAAAAATTGTAGAGGTTTTTAATTACTTGAAGGCAATCAGACCAAAGCAGCATTTCTGTACTAAGCCTCTTTGTGAATGTCAAACTGCTGCCACATCTTTGTTAGAGAGTCTACAGCTAAAGGTTAACAGAACTGCAGTTAAATTACCTGTACTTGACAGGGTTGTACTGCTTTTCATCATCATCATCCATTATTGGGCAAGGTTGGGCCATAGTGAACCTTGAGGCTAGAAGGCAGCCACCTTTTTACCTGGGTGAGCAGTGAGCATGATGGAGTGATGACATAATGACTGGGGGAAAGACTCAAACTTGTCACCAAGGGCCAATGACTCAGATGACCTTTGCTGGGAATTAAAATGCTATGTCTCATCTGCCACAATTTCTTTACAGAGGTTGGGATTGTCAGTGGGTATGGATCATTGCATGTATTGCAGAGTATTTACATTACATACAGATCCAGAGTAAATATATCATCAGGATGGAGAACAGACAAGGAAGTTCTAAATCTAGACTGTGGGAAATACCATTCATTTTTCTCAAATCAGTCTAGGAAGGCTTCTTATGGGAGACATTTCTACTCTGATGTCCCACTGACATTCAAATGGAAAACAAGCCTGAAGGAGAACTCGTTATTATCATTGCTATTAAGTCACCCTATCCTCCCTCCCTTCCTGTCTTTTCTCTCTCTTTCTCATTCCTTCTTTTTCTCTTTCTCTCTCCTTCTCCTTCCTTTCTTCTTCCTTCCCTTCCTCCCTCCCTCCCTTCCTTTCTCCCTCAGTCCCTCTCTTCCTTCCTGCCTTCCTTCCTCATTAACTTCCAAATGTTGAGACATTTGGGGATTTAGGAGTTGTTTAAACATAGGAAAGGGGCAAATTGCATATGATTGTTCATCTGACAACATTACCTTTTAAGAAACAAAAGGAAATATCATCAGCAAAAGGAAATCCACAGTGTCCCACTGGAGCCTACACTGCCATGGCAGCTGTCAATCAGCCCAAGGAAGTTATTTCTATGTCTTTTGTCTTTCCTTGGATTTCCTGAAACCTTTGGCTCATCCTGATACCTGGTTCATCCAAATTCTGCTCCTGTCAACTAATCCCTAAGTCTGAGACCAGGCCAATATTCCTCAACTTCCCTGGCTGCTCTCCTGCCCCTGTGTGGGGGGTCTTTTTCTATGCGCATCTGGTTAGCCATTTGACATCTTACGTTGGCCACCATTGATGTTTGCTTCCCATTTCCCAACACTTAGTAGGGTTTTTTCCCTCTGCAAGTGAGGAAGTTGGACCTAGATGACCTTTCAGACTATTTCCAATACTAACTCTCTTATCCTATGGAAAAACAAACAAAAACACCCTGCTCAAAAATCTGCATTTCAAGGTAGTCCCTAGTTGATGCTGACTCACCTACATCTTAAAAAAAGAAAATTCCAGAGGTGTCTAGAGTGAAGAATAATCCTGCAAAAATCACTTCCTCCACTTCAAAGGACTGGTTCAGCCTTCAAACAAATCATTTGAAAATGATATAAGGATCATGTTGGACTAAAATGGTGTGACTCATTGGATGTCTACAGAAACTACATCTAAAAGAACCACACCATCCTTTCCCCTCCTCCCACTCCCTTTGCCTCTGATACAAGCAAACCAACCAACCTTCTATAAGAATATCCTTAACTGTGTGTAGGAGATCCTGGTTGCTTGTTGAAAAACTGTGTAAGGAGGAAGACATTGCAATCAGTGTCAAGAACAGCCCAAGAAGTAATAATATTAACAGCAACAAAAGCTAAGATGTATATAGCAGGTACTATGTGCCAGGCACTGTGCTAAGCACTTTACAATTATTATCTCATTTGATCCTCACAATGATCCTGGGAGGTAGGTACTATTATTATCTTCATTTTATAGGTGAGGAAACTGAGGTTAAATGACTTTCCCAGAGTCACACAACTACTAAGTGTCTGAAGTGGGATTTGAACTCAAGTCTTCCTGACTCCAGGCCCAGGGCTGTATCCACTATACTGCATGTTTCTTGTTGCTATTGATAGCTAACAGAGAAAACTTTGTAAGAAAAAGATGTTAGTCAAATAGGGTGAAAGTTAAGTGATGTAGGGTTTTTTTTTAATTTTGTAATCTGTTATTATCTGAAAATTAAATTAAACAAGAGAATTCAGAATGTTTATTTCCTCAAGAGAAGGGAAAAGTATCTACTCATAGTCAACTAGTAAAAATCCATATCACTTTGACTCATAATCTTTTTTTTCTCATATGGCTTAACTATACAATACTCTTTTATGCTATGGATATAAAATTTTTGAATAGTGTGAGTTGGAATCTACCTAGAGTTCCTAGAATAAGCCTAGCTACATAGTAGACTGAAGTTGTTAGTATCCAAAATGTGACTGAAACCAACATTACATGTAAATTTTTTTTTTATCAAACCACTGAGTTAAATGACTCTGTTATAACTTCCCTAATATGGTCACTGGGTCACACCCTCAAATCAATGTGCATTAGATTTGTCTAGAATAGATGATGATGCCGTAGAACTTTTCTCTAGTAATATCAAAATGTCATTTGGTTTCAAGAAGTGTAGAAGTCTTAGTATATTCTAGAGGAAAATAGAGATTAAAGGCTTTTACCTTGAGCCTAGTGGTCAGATGGAACCAGCGGGTGAAGGTGATAGTTAAAAAATATCTTCTCTGGGCAAGATACATAAAACAGCAAGTTATCCAGGAGAAAGCTTTGGAAGTATATGTCAAGAGACATAACTTGCATGTTGAGACATGTTAGCATCCTGAAGTCAATGGAAAGAACCAATATTAACACATATGTTTTTATTTTAATTTTTTTTTAGGCAATTGGGGTTAAGTGACTTGCCCAGGGTCACACAGCTAGTAAGTGTCAAATTAACACATATTTTTTGAAGAGTAAAATGGATTACAACCAATCTGGAAAGTATCTAAACAAAAGCCAAATAGAGATGGACAGATGTACACTTCATCAAAAATGAGGAAGAGAATTGATGGATATTCTCAGATCACAGTGTAAACAGATTAAAAATGCATAGAAATGCTTCTGGAACAAAGTGATACCTTCTCAAAGCAATTGTAAATGCTGACAAATGAATGTCATTGGAATTGCTGAAAGCAACCAATGGTGGTTTGCCTCTGGACAGAGCTAATGAAATGGGTAAGATCCAAAAGCATAATCAAAAAACCTTTAACGACAATGTTCACATGAATTCAACCAATAATCTGTCAACAAGGAATCAATGAACAGATGCCCAAGTCAGGTTGACAGAACCAGAAGGATGAAGATATATGACCAGACCACTGGCATCAGAAATTATAGAAAGCTCATCTTCTTATGAAGCCCAGAGGAACAAAACCCACCCCTTTTGGTGGTGTTGTGTAAAACTAGGCTTCTACCTCTGGCAGAGTCTCCATTGATTCCAAATGAATTCAAATCTCAGTGCCTTCTAAAAGTGTTTGATTTATATATCCAAATGGTAAGTGATTTTAGTTCAGGAGAATTGTCTCCTTGGCACTGCCAAAGACATTTCTTAACTGGGAAAACAGCAATATATGGCCTCTCAACAGTGCACCGCCACCGTTAACTTTTCGAACATATCATGTGATGGACTAACTAGCTTATTATTGGAGAATCAAGCCCTTTTCTATATGATATAGTGAGGAAAGAAAACAGAACAGACCAGCTAATTTATCAAAGGATTTCCTGACATTCTCCTAAAGCAGAAAATGTTCTGTCCCTTTTCATGTCCCTTGCTGAGGCCATTGTGGTTCTCAGACAGTATCATATGCTCACATCTTAGCCATCTAATGGCCCTTACACTTACATTGTTTTTCCCTGTACTTCAAACTCCCTTGTCCACTCCTGTCCCCTGGACATTGTTGGGTTTTTTTTTTTTGGTCTTTCTTCTCCAGCAAAGGAAAATACCTGATGGTCCAACAAGTCATTTTTCATCTTGATTGTTAAGTAGCAGTTCTGAGGATACAGTAAAGGCTATTCTGTTTGTTTGCCAAAATCAAAGACTCTACATATTCCATTTGAAATAGCAAACATCATTCACGTTTCTCTTTAAAAGAATTTCAGTGGAGTTCTCCCAGTAAGTACTAAAGTAGCATAGACCAAGGAGGGAGGAAGACTGCTTACAAGTTCCCCTAGTGAACTTAGCTAGATTTTACCAGGTGCTTAGTAAATCAGGCATTTCCTGAATAGTTTGAGCATCCCATTTTCATATAGCAGCCAAGTTTTTTTTCCCTTAAGGATTATACAGTTCTTTCTCCCTTTCTTTTTATCCTTCCTTCTTCCCTCCTTCCTTCCTCTTTCTTCCTTCCTTCTCTCTCTCCTTTATTTCTTCCTTCTTCTCTCCCTTCTTCTCTTTCTTCTTCCCTCTTTTCCTTCCCTTATTCCTCCCTTTCTTATTTAGCAAAGAAAACTGAAAAATAGCAGGTAGAAGGAGAACCAGGATAGAGTGGTACAATGAAAACCTAGAAAGAAGAGAGGATCAAAGAGGAAGAGGTGATCAACAGTAAGGATTGAGAAAAGGCCAAGGGATTTGGCAACTAAAGATCACTGGTAGCTTTGGAGAGGAAAGTTTCATTGGAATGGTAAGATCCAATGCCAGATTGTAAAGGGTTAAGAAGAGAGTGAGAGGAGAGGAAGTGGAGGCTTCTATTGTTAATGGCCTTTTCAACCTTGTGTTGAAGGCTTATTTAACCACAAAGAGCAGAAGAGATATAGGATGATGGTTACAGAGATGAAAGGATCTAGTGAGGGGTTTTTGAGAATGGGAGAGGCATGAGTCTTTGTAGGCAGTAGGGAAGGGGCAGGTAGACAGGAGATTGACAATAAGTGATAGAGTAGGGAGGATGGAAGGGGCAGTGTGTTATAGGACACAAGATGGAATGGGATTGATTGTGCAGGAAGAGAGATTAACCTTGGTAAGGAGTAACCTTAAAGCATTACGTAAATGTTAGCTATTATTAATAATATAATACAGAGAAGCATGAAAGGACTTATGTGAACTGAGCCAAAGCAAAGTAAGCAGAGCCAGAAAAACCAATGTACACGACTTTGACAATTTAAACAGAAAAAAAAAATCTTACACAGAAAATTGAAAATGAATGCATAGAATTACAAAGAAGAAGCCCGGCCCCAAAGAAGACAGGTGAGAAGACATATCCCTTCATTCCTTTGCAGTAAATATGGAAAGTTTACACATAATAATATATATTTTTTAATGTATCAATTAGTTTTGCTGAATATTTTTTCTTTTTTTATAAGGAATGGCTCTTTGGGAGTGGGATTTTGAGGGTGAGAAGGATTCAGGGGGAAATTTAGATGATATAAAAAGATTTTTTAAAATCCGCCTTAAATAATAATAATGTTCAAGTGCTAACTATGCACTATAATAAACATTGTGCAGTACTCATGCATACCACTCAGAAAATAGTTCTCCAAGAAAAGTACCATTTCTCTTCAAGATACCGGTACCCATGACTGAGAATAGGCTGTTCTTCTTCTTGACCCGACTCCAATCTTGCCACATAGCCAGAGCAAGTTTCTAGACTCCTTTGTCCCTTGGTACCCTACATGTAATATGGCTTTGTGGGTCCCCGCCTTTGGGGCAAGGATAAAAATTAACCATCCAGTCTTCTTGAAATGCTGTGTGGATCTGAGTATTCTACAAATGAGCAGTGTTCGGGTAGAAAATTTTAAAAATTCAAAATGCTTTAAGGGATAGTTCAGAGACAGACAAAATGTGATAGCAGCCAGTAAGTGTATTACTGTGGTTCATTCCCCTTCCAGCTATTGAAAATGCACAAGCAGGGCTTGTGTTGATATGTAGATCTCAGGAGTGGTTCTTGTTGTTTTAATACCTCTATGCAGGCAAGAAAATGAATAATATTTCTCAGTACTGTTGTGGTTCTTTTCCCAGACTGAGAGGCATTGTAAAGACTTTGTTTAATATTCCTAATCTTACACAATTATTCTTACTTTCCCTACTTTTTATCTAGCACTATAAAGGGTTTGAGAACTAAGGGCATGAGTGGTTCCAAAAAGTGAGAGAAGCCAAACTGATTACTCTGTGGTTCAGTGGTTTTTAATCCATCTGTCTGTTCTCTCGGTTTTTAAGAAAAAGCCACTTTCTTACCTGCTCCTAAATTCACAGCACGCCATTTGTTCTTGTTGAGGGATTACTCTTCTTTTGGCTTAGAAATGCAGGCAAATGGGATTTGGAAGGAACTGGTATCCAGACTCTCCCAGAATAAAACAGAAATCAGGCAAAATTGTCAGTGACTGGCCGCTTCCCTCATGAAACTATGTGGGGATTGAGGCTTAGGGCTCAGTATCGGGGATTGCTTAAACCAGGAAGAAGGCCTTTGGTTATAGAGTTTCATCTAGTATTAGGTGACAGGGAATGCAACATCTTCTGTGAGGTGATGACACATTTCTTCCAGGGTGGGAGAGAGGATTCTTCTTTAGAGTTACCTGAATCTCTGTGTCTCCCATTACTCAGCTGGTCTATTCTTCTCTGTGCCATGATTGCTACCCAAGCTGCCACTCTGGGGTCCTGTCACTGAGGCCTGCCTCCCTTGAGATCTCTAGCAAGGTACAGGCTGTGCTTGGGGAGGGGGTGTCCCACCTCTCCCATTATGACTCCACCCACAGTTAAAGTGGCCTCTATATTTCTACCCTGCCCTTCTACTGAATTTGCCCCAGGCATAAGAATTACTAGTTATGGCTCTATTTGGTTATAATACAACCTTCAGTGTTATTTTTTCATAAGGCTTCTTCATAACCAGGTCACTTCAGTAGTATGGTAACTGAATCCCCTTGGGTGTGGACCACAATGTCCTCATTTGTAAAAACTTAGGGGTTTGATTGGATGACCTGTAGAGGCCTTTCAACTCTAAATCCTATAATCCTACAAGACCCCATGTAACTGTGCCTTAGGCAGCACTATATTCTGACCCATAATGAATAATGAAGTCCTCAAAAAGTTTCTTTTAAGACTCTTTTCTCCCTACCATGGGTCATACAACCAGTGCCCACCAACCTCAACAGTGAGGGATGGATGGATCGTGTGAGGGTATTTTCAAAATAAGGGAGAGAGAGGCATGTTTGTAGGCAGTAAAAAATGAACCGGTAGAAAGGGAAAGATTGAAAATAAGTGAAAGGGTGGGATTGACAGAGAGAGCAATCTGTTGGAAGAGACAGGATAGAATGGGATCATTTGAACTGGTAGAGAGGTTAGCCTTGGTCAGAAGGAAGGTCACTTCATCATGTGAGACAGGGGTTAAGGAAGATATGATGGCAGAAGGCATCTCAGGGATAAGAGGTGAGGAAGAAGGAAGAAAAGGGAGTTGATGGTGAATGGCCTCAATTTTTTCCTGTAAAATATGAGGCAAAGTTCTCAGCTGAGAGTGTAAAGGGAAGAAAGCTATGGGTGGTTTGAAGAGGGCTGAAAAGATTTGAAAGAGCTGCTGCGGAGAGATATTTGATAGTGGGTTGATAAGGGAAGCATAGAAGGATTGCCTAGCATCAGTGAGGGCCCAGTTGAGGTTGTATGATATAAATTTGTAGTTGTCGTTCAGTCGTTTTGGTCACGTCTGACTCTTGGTGACCCTATTTGGTGTTTTCTTTGCAAAAATACTGGAGTGGTTTGCCATGTCCTTCTCCAGCTTA